TATATTCTTATGTAAATTTATTTAAAAAAATGTAAAAAAAAATTTAAATTTTTTCATTCTTTAATTTACATTTCTTTCATATAATTGTTTACATCTTTTTAGAATATATTTTTTATAGAAAAAAGAACAAGGGGAAAAAAATACAATTTTCTAAGATTTATATTTTGATTTTAAAATCTTTATTTATTTTATATTTCTTTTTATATCTTCTTAAATTTATAGGTACAGCAGCATATATATTGAATATATAATTTTGTTTTATTTTTTTCAATTTTAAAATTGGTTTACTCTTTGTTGTCAAGTACAAAATATTTCTTTTTATTTCTTTTTCTTCTTCCTTCTTTCTTCTTCATCTTTCATCCTTTCTCTTTTTCCTCTTTTCTTATACCTTCTCCTATTTCTTTCTTCTTCATCCTTCTTTATCCTCCTTCTTCTTCCTCCTTTTTTCATCCTTCTTTTTCCTTCATCTTTCTTCTCTTTTCTCTTCTCTAGTCCCCCCTTTTTTAATATAAAGTAAAGGATTTTCAATGTATATTTATTTAATTAGTTTACATTTTGGAAATTTAATCTATTTAAGTAGATATGAGAGAAACATTATTTTAGATTTTAGTGTTTTTTTTAATACAGAAAAGTGTAACTAAGCCCTTAGTTTCGTAATTTTAATGAACTGTTAGCAAAATGGTGCCCATTTTAGGAGAGAAAATGCTCGTATTATAACATTAATATTACTGATAAAAATGCAGTGTTTACTTTACGTGATTAAGTGTTTACGTGTGCCTATACTTATCACATTTTCCAGTAAATCTATCGTATTAGCTGGAAATTTGAGGAGCACTTTTTCTATATTTCTAACAATTAAGGTGTACCTCAAACTTGAGAAACACCCTTCCATGTTTTAACAATTAAGGGGGACCTCGAATTCGAAGAGCACTTTTTCGTGTTTCCAACATTGAAAGAGCATCTCGAATTAATGGAATCTCTTCTTAATTGTTAGAAACATGGAAAGGTGCTCTTTAATTGTTAGAAACATGGAAAGGTGCTCTTTAATTGTTAGAAACATGGAAAGGTGCTCCTTAATTGTTAGAAACATGGAAAGGTGCTCCTTAATTGTTAGAAACATGGAAAGGTGCTCCTTAATTGCTAAAAATTCAGAAAAGATGCTCTTCAAATTTATATTCCTTATCAGTGGCCGTTATTCAGAGGTTTGACATACGAGAAAAAAAAAAAAGAAAGCTTTCACCTCATTTACTGTTATCTCTAAGTTATACAACTACACATCCTGGAGGTCACGAGGCTAGTATATCTATAACATTGAGGTTACTAGGTCTTCTTATCAAGCGTTAACGTAACATAAAGCAACGTAACATCACAGAATTTCACGTATAAGGGGTTAGCAACAACCTATAATTTACAACTACATCTTAAGAGAACGTTAAAACTCTTCAAGATTATGCGTGTTATATACGGTTTACAACCGTTTTATATATAAAAATACTTAATATTATACGTGTTATACAGTTTTAATATGTAATATAACTTGTATACATCCTTATAAAGGCATTGAAGTGTAATATACTCCATACACTGGCAAGTTATACAGTTACACACTTGAATGTTACGTGCCTTGTATATGTATAACATTAAGGATATTAGGTGTTGTTATGGTGGTTTACTTAACACAGAACCGCGTAACATGTGAGAATTTTACGTTAGTAACTTCGTATAATTTACAGTTACATCTTAAGAGAACATTAAAAAGCTCATAACTCAGCAGGAGTCAGTAAAGAAGGAATAAAGGGTAGCAAACCAATCAAAATATAATTAAAACTTAATTAAAGCGTGTCGAGTATAATTAAAATTTTATTATTATTTATTATTATTATAATTATTAAAGAAATAAATGATGTTCATTATTAATATTCTATTCCTTCATCAACATTTTTCAACTTCTACCTTGTCCAGGGTTGAAGATTTTTGTATATATTATGCCATTAATATCATTTATTTCTAGAGAAATTTTTAATAAATTTTAAATTAATTTTTTAAAATTAAATTATAAAATAGATAAATTATTCATTAAAGATAAATTGTTATAATTTTAAAATGAGAATTTTAATTATTTAAAAAAATATATATATATACATTTTTCATGTTTACTTAATTTATACAGTAAAAGGGAGAGGGGGAAAGAGAGACAGGGGAGAGAGGAAGGGGGGAAAAGAGAATAGAGGAAGGGGTAAAGTGAAAGAGAGAGAGAGGAAGAGAAAAAAGGGAGGAAAGAGGGAGGAAAAGGCAGAGAGAAACAAGAAGGAAAGAAGAGGAAGGGAGAGAATGAGAGAGGAAAAGTAAAAGGGAAAATATAGAGAAAAGGGAAGAAATAGACGAAGAGAGGGAGGAGAAAAAGGAGAGGAGAAAAATGGAAACAGAAACAGGAAACGAAGAAGGAAGGGAGCAGAAAAAGAGAGAAGGGGAGAATGGGANAACACGAGCCCTTTGTTTAGCTAGATGTTCAGGTGTTCTGCACTGTTGAGAACCGAACACGATCCCTTTGTTTAGCTAGATGTTCAGGTGTTCTGCACTGTTGAGAACCGAACACGAGCCCTTTGTTTAGCTAGATGTTCAGGTGTTCTGCACTGTTGAGAACCGAACACGAGCCCTTTGTTTAGCTAGATGTTTAGGCGTTCTGTACTGTTGACAACCAAACACGAGATCCTTAGTGTAAAATTGAGAACTCTTCATGAGAACGAATCCACATTCTATGTTAATGTAATTAGAATACCTAATTTCATTAACATATGTTCTCATAAAAAGTTGTGAACATCTCGACTTTAAAGTTGCATTTTAGAAGAAATTTATCTACAATGTAAGAGTGGATTCGAATCTTTAATTAAACGAGGTAAAGTATGTTATATCAGTGAAAAAAGTGTGTTCAGTTTCTATTTAAGACCGACCCTTTTTTTTGTCCGGTTCTACTTTGGATATGTAAACTTACAGGGTTGATGTCCTGCAGATCTACATATTTTCTGTCAGGGTGTACTTTGAAACTTGAGATCTGTAGATTTGTATATTCAAATTACATCCAGACAAACGCAGTTTTAAAAACTATAAAATCTGTACATGTAGTGAGTAACCTTAGGCCCTACACGTATACATTTTTCTCTCCAAAATAAAAAAAGTGTATGCCTATAAGAAGACAAGGACCCACATTAAAAAGACCTGTTAAGTCATTTAGCCCAGGCCCCAGCCGAAAAAAACAGCCAAAAAAAGGCTTAGAAAGGCCCAAAGTTTAGTCTTATATGTAAAATAAAGAAAATTTAAGTGTGAAGTTTTCTTCTGAGTACTGAAAAATCCATTTCTGTTTCTTTTATTATTCGAGGAGGCCCCACGTCATTCCCACTCAGGCTCTGGATACGGAATTTATTTTTTTAATTTAGTTATTAAAAATTTATTTTCAGAAAATAATGCATTAACTATATGCAGGGTCAGATTTACACAAGCTGAGGCCTTACAAGCGTGAGACCTTTTACAGTTTTACAGTTGAAGGCTTTGTTCTTTTAAAATTTATTATTGTTTAATTGAGGGGGAACGGTTACTAATATCTTACAGCTTAAGGCCCTACATTATGAGGATGCTATTTAAGGCCCGCGTTATTAAATTTATTGCTGTGTTTAGAAAAAGAGCCTTTTCTATTAAAGCTTAAGGTTTTACGCTGTGAAGATACAGTTTAAGGCCTACGTCTATAAACTTATTAGTGGGGAGAGAAGAGACTTACTTATATATTACATTCAAAGCCCTAATCTTTAAATTTATTATTATGTAAAGGAGAAAGGGCCTGCTATAT